TAAGGGTCCCCATTATGTACTGATTTAATGTTCACTTCTTTCTGTGTTGTGCTGTAGTTAGAAAATAGTTTACATCCTCATTCCATATTATATTTCAGGATCTTTGGCGGTAGTGGCAATGTCCTGCTCATCCTTGTATTCACCTACAGCACCTGATAGAATGCTTCAAATACTCTAAAATAAACATGAATTTTATATATTAAAAAGAAAGGCTGAGATAATGCCCCTAAAAGCATTTCAAAAAGCAAAGGTCAATGGCCACAGTGAAACTATGAAAAAGCAAAATTTTAATATTTCCATTTAATTTATCAAAATATATACAAGAACAACCAGTCAAACTACTTGACTATCTGCTAAGAGTCTTCAGCAATGTCACCTACTGGAGAATCATTTTCACTGTTCAATATCTGGTACCGTTACAGAATAGGAAGAAGCCAGGAAATTTTTAGAAGTGAAGAAGGAAACTAACATAGCTAAATAGCAATTTGCAGCCACCTATTAAATCCTATTTTTCCTAAACACAGGATACTTAAGAGTAAGAGGTCTGCACTACTCCCCAACCAGAGGATAAATAATAAACATCCAGCCTTTAAAACCCCTGAGAGTGAAGGTCCCAGGATGCTCTCCCTCCAGGGAGCAAGGCCCAGTGCCATTCATTCCCTTCCCTTTGTCCTCTTGTCCTTCCCCACAGGCACATATCCCCTAACCTCTAAGGGACGGTATGAGACATGCAACCAGGGAGCAATGGTCCTTGCTTCACTGTCCTAGAATGTTTTTACTGTGCTCAGTAAATTCTTGCTTGTTTTTCTACACTTTGTCTTTTGATTGAAATCTTCCCTCGTCTCACCAGTAATAGTACTGTCACTATCATTGTGATGGATTTTTAAACAGTTGACTAATTCATTTCTTTGGACTAAGTAATTATTAGATGATGACTTCTGAATTTAAATTTACCTTAGATGTAGAGAAACCTATATAGGAGAAAGAATTACTAAGCCAAATTATTGTACTCTGCTTACTTGACTATAACATACAGGAGCAAAATACAATGAATCTATCCCTCCCTCAATTCCTGTCCACCCATCTACCTCAATCCAGATTCTGCTATATACAACACCAAAACACATGATAATGCTTTTTAATAGATCTTCCCAAGACACATAAATAGTCATAATTTGCCTATGTTATTAAGGTTTAAATCTAATTTAATCTCAAATGAGGTCTCTGACAATAAAACAATACTCTTCCTCCTATATAATAAAGAGGTAATATGCAAATTGACCATCACTCCAACAAAAGATGGCCACCCCATGTGGTCAAAGATGGCTGTCCCCAAGATGGCCACCACAAGATGGCCAGCAGGGAACCAGACCGAAGGGAGGCAAGTTAGGGATGACTGGACCAGCAGGGGAGGACAGTTGGGGTGACCAGGCCTGCAGGGGAGGACAGTCCTAGGTGCAGAATGATTAACCCTATAAAGCTGTAACTTTTCACCTTTTACTAAAACAATTATGGGCCACATATGCCTGTCAGTGGTGGCAAAACACAAAGTCGCTCAATAAAAATATTTCATGAAACAATGTCTTGGCTTCACAGTTTGAATTCTAACTTAAGAGTTAAATATCTGGAATTATTAGAGAGAGATAATCTGCTCTCAGCATTCTGGTGGCAGTATCAAGATATCACTTAACAGATATCCTGGGCTAGATCATTCAGATATTGCTGCTGGTCCACTAGTTCAAGGCATGGTAAAAAATTAAGGAGAAATAGGCAAGAAAATATTATATTATACATAAATCATCCCAAGGGATGTGTACCTAACTTTCTCAGGACACATAGAGCTCTTACTTACAATATTGACAGGGTTGCTAAACATTATTGGGCAGAGATAATTCACCTTTAAGACTAAGGTAAGATAGAAATAGTAAATGCAAAATGTCTAAACTTTCCAATTTTGAGTACTACATTTGTATTCAAAACACTACGCATTACTCACCTGCATACTTAGGCTATCTCCACTACTGCTTTCCAGGACATTCTCCCCTACCCCCAACCCAATTAGCATCTATATTATCTCTTCAGATTTAAGATCTCGCACACCCCTATCTCCTTTAAGGTAATATGCACCTTCACACCCACCTTCCCCCAGTCTCCCAGTGACACTCAAAAAATAATGGCTCCTTAATTCTATTGAACAATGGGCAGCACAAAGCTTATTGGGAAGAGAGCTGGGAAAGGCAAACCTGAAGGCAAATCTCAGAGGCAGCTAGAGATGCTGTGTCAGGGAAGATGAAATAAAGTGCTACTCAAGGCCAGATCGCCTCCAGTAACCCACAAGTAGATGTGTGAATGGGAGGGTGAGTAGCAAAAGCAGATCAGATTGGCTTCAACTATACAAAAGGTTATGGAACCAATTAAAACCCCTGAACATCCTGTGGCAATTTCCAGAACAAACAGGTACCACTCTGTTGGGAATGCAAATCATCTAGTGAGTGCTAGCCTCACAAAGCAACTGGGAAGAATCAGTTACTAGAAAAGGCTGGTTTCCTCAGTTTGATGGCCTGCCTCTGTGCCAGAGTAAAGATGAATATTTATTGAATATTAATTACTAAGCACTGCATATGAATTACTACATGTAATCCTCCAATAACCATCAACACTCCAATGAGTGTTGATACTATTACCATTCCCATTTTACAGATAAGGTAACTGCTTTGAAAGAGATTAAGTAACTTGTCCTATATAAGATCATGTAACTAGTAAGTGGAAGAGCCTAGAGCCCATGCAATCTGAACATAGAACTCAGGCTCTCAAGCACTACACTTTTTATCTCCATAGTAGACAGAAAAGAAAAAAATGCCTGTTTACAAATCATGAATCTTTTATTACCAAACTAGAGGCCCAGTGCCCAAATTCGTGCAGGGGTGGGGTTCCTCAGCATGGCCAGTGATCAGATGATCAGGGCTGGGGAGGGGGCCATCGGGGCCCGTTAGCCAGGGAAAGGAACTATGGCAGGTTGGCCCACAGGGAGCAGGGATAGTGGGAGGTTGGCCAGCCAGCCCCATCAGGTTCATCGAGTAGCCAGCTGGAAGGGAGGGACCACAGGAGGCTGGCTGTGGGTACATAATGACCACCATGGGGCAGCTCATGCACTGTCTGCCCCCTGGTGATCAGTGCGCATCATAGCGACTGGTCAACTGGTTATTCCACTGTTTTGGCATATTACATATATATGTAATTTTAGAATACAACTTAATACAGGGAAATGAGAGGTACCAAAAGTTTCTGTTGTCATGGATGAGCTAAAGTGAGTTTTTAGGAAGTAATCTGCTCAAGACAAATGGCAGCAATAGAGGTTCAAATCCCCAAGACTCTAAGCCTTAGTTTTCTTATTTTAAAAAATAGGGAAACCAGTCCACTCTAGCTCACAGCCCTGGTGAGAGGAGTAAATGAAACAAACACATGCAAAAGCAGCCTGAAATCTGCAAATCACCATGTTCTATTAGGCATTATTTTTGTTAAACACAGAAAGCAAAGGTAGCAGCCAGGCAAAACACATTTTCAACACAACTGCAAAAGACAGCCTATAAACTAATGGAAGCTAGATATAACTCTACAACTAAGATCAAGTAACACTTATATCCCAAAGATATTTTTATCAGCCTTTAAGACTCCTGTTGGAGGAAATCCACTCAGAATTTAACATTTACTTGTGAGAACTTCATGTCAAGGCCCAAATGTAGACTTATCAAATTACAAACACCATCTCCTCCTCCTAGTCATGAACTAGGCACTGGTAGCAAACATCAGTTCAAATACCACCCTCCAAGACAGCATCCTTCATCTCTCCAATCAGAAGCGATCCAGACATCCCTTAGATGCCCTCACAGCACATATTTGCTACTTTGTTGGCATTTCATTCTGATTGGCATCAAGAGTTGCTAGTTGCCTCCCAGCCTGACTTCCTGCTACTTCTTGAACTCAGTCAATTCACACAGAACCCCAAACACCTAAAGCAAGTTGATCATCTTGGCTAGCACTCAAATATCTGCTCTCTGAGACTATACTTCTCACTTCTAATCCTGCACCTGTAGGTTCCGTCTGCACTTGGGGGTGAACACACACATGGTACACACACACACACACACACACACATAGACATGAAAACGGTTCGGCTGGGAAAAGAAATCTAATGGTTCACTATGTCTTCTCCCTTCTGGATCTATCTACAAGGTGAAGGGATGCTCTTTGAAAAACAGAACGAGGCACACACGAAAATAAGATGAATGCATCAGAACATCCAAAACCCAATGTGGAATTCAGATGTCCTTTCTCTCCGCCTTGCTTTAAAAAACACTGCAGGCATCTCTTGCATCACAAAGAGTGGGGATGGTATCTGTCCTGACGAACCCCTTTTTGGAAAGAAAGACCACACCCCTCATTCTAAACCCCACGCGGGCCGCGTGCTATTTACTGCTCCGGTGCTGAACCCAGCGCCGGGGAAGCCAAAGAAGGACCTTGGAAACGGAAGACTGACTCCCCCAGGAGCGCCCAGGCCAAGAGCAGGGACACTCTCGCCCTGCAGGAGACGGAGGAACCATAAGGGAGGGCTCCAGGGATGTGCTTTCCCGGACTTCACCCAGCGTTCGGTCCGGTTGCTAGGGGCGCGGACCACCGCCGCGCCCCGGGTCCGACCCAGCCTCTTTCCAGCCGGCGTCGGCCTGTGAGGCCGCCGGAGGCGGCGGTGGGTGGTGGAGCCCTCGCCGCCCTCCTTCCCGACCCCAGGCCGCTGTCATCCTCCTGCTCCACCGAAAGGTGCACGCACGAACCCCTCCGTCCCCGCGCGCCCCATGGGTGGCCGGGGAGGCGGCTCGGGCGCCGGCGGGGAGCACGGTGGGCGCCTCCCGCCCCGCGCCCGCGGCACCGGAGACCGCGCCGGGCGCCCGCGGGCGACTCCAGCCCCAACCCGGTTCGGAGCTACGCCCGGAATCACCCGTTACCTTCCCCAGGCAAATGTGGCACGTGATGGGCAGGGTGAGGGACAGTGTAACGTTCTGCACGGTCTGAGCCATGGCAGCGTTCAGAATCCCGCCAACACGGAAGTCCCGCCGGCCGCGGGGCCCGGCGGCGGCGGCGGGGGCGGCGCGAGGCCGCTACGGCAGCCGGGCAGGGCCACAGCCCGCCGGGGCGAGGGGCCGGAGGAAACGCGCTTCCCGAACGCGGTCGCCGAGGCTTTCTTTCCCCTTCCTCGCCTCATTCCTTTCATTAAAAAATACAGATATAATAAAAGCTTTCCTCTGGGTGGGGTCTGCAAGATTCCCGAGAATGGGAGGGAAGCCGTCTTACTACCCGTATGGAGGATCTTGAAAGTTTAAGTGAGAGAGGAGTTGTGAGGAGAGGAGAGGAAGAGAAATAAAAGCTTTTCAATCCCCCCATCTGGACCGGAGCGTGGGAAAGGGGGAAGAGTTTTCTACCTAAAGAAAAACCCTAACCAGCCTGCAAATGCACGGTGCAGTCGAAACAGGAGGAGAGAAAAGGCGATCTCTGCATTTTTAATGGTTCAAAACAACTTTTATGCCACTCTCAGCTGTCTCTGTAATTCCTAAATGATATGTCACTACAGAACAACCAACTGAAAAACATAAAAAATAAAAAAAAAATAAAAACAACCAACTGTGACTGCCTCTATCTGTTTCTGAGGCTGTGGTGGAGACATTGGATCGCAGCTTTACCTGAAGACACCTTTCACCGAGAGCCCCTGGTTTTTATCTACAAGGATGGGAACCAAAGACACGTTAAAAGATCTTGCCTGGGAAGTATTAACCCACCCTGTATATTCACCAGACCTTGATCCTTCAGATTGCCACTTGTTCCGATGGATGGCACATGCACTTTCTAAACAGCACTTCAAAACGTACCAAGAAGTGGAAAATTGGGCCTCAGAATGGTCTGCCTCAAAACAAGAAAAGTTCTATTGGGATGGAAGATAGAGGAAATGTGTAGCTAATGATGTACATTACTTTGAATAAAGCACTTTTGATGTTTCTCTTGAAGTTATCGTGTTTTCTTTTATTGCAAAATCTGTCATTATTAATCGGTTAACAGTTAATCTGCATTTTTAACCAGTTAAAGATTAATTTGCATTTTAAACCTGTTAATAGTTAATCTGCATCATTAACTGTTTAGTATTTCAGATTAATTATTAATCAATTAAAGTATGGATAAACTATTAATGGATTAAAATACAGATTAATCATTAACCGGTTAATAATGCAGATTAATCTTTGCCAGTTAAAAATGCTGATTAACTGTTAACCGATTAATAATGTGGGTGTTGTAATAAGAGAAAATATGATAATTTCAAGATAAACATCAAAAGTGCTTTGTTCAAAGTAATGTACATCGTTAGCTACACATTTCCCCCATCTTTTAGGTAATTTGTGGATGCCATCCCAAGAGAACTTTCCTTGTTTTGAGGCAGACCATTTAGAGACCCAATTTTTCACTTTGTAAGTTTTCAAGTGCTGCTCAGAAAGTGTATGTGCCATCCATCAGAACAAGTGGTAATCTGAAGGAGCAAGGTCTGGTGAATATACGGGTAGGTTAATACTTCCCAGGCAATATCTTTTAACCTGTCTTTAACTGGTTTTGAAGTGTGTGATGGTGTGTCATCATAAAGCAAAATTACTTTGCCATGTCTTCTGGCCGTGGTTCAAATTTAGTGATCAGTATTAATAGTTTCACCTGGTTTTAGAAGCTCATGAACACCACACCTTCCTGATCCCACCAAACGTAAGACATTGTCTTTTTCCGAAGCGAGTTGTCTTATAGTCGATGTTGATGGTTGACCTGGATCAACCCATGATTTTGTGCATTTGGGATTCTCAAAATAAATCCACTTTTCATCACCAGTCACAATTCGATGCAAAAAAAAGACTTTCTTTCATGCCATTGAAGCAACATTTTACTGATGACGTTTCAGTTTTCCATTTGTCTTTCGTTCAAATGATGTGGCACCCATTTTCCTTCCTTTAAAATCTTTCCCATTACTTGTAAATGATCATACATTGTTTGCTGAGAAACGTTTATTCTTTCTGCAAGTTATTTTTGAGATTGACACGCATCTTCATCTAATAATGCTTATAATTATTGGTCTTCAAACTTTTTTGGTTGACCTGGACGTTCTTTGTCTTTCACATAGAAATCATCACTTTTAAAGCATTTAAACTAGTGTTCACAAGTATCTTTTTTTAAAATTAAATTATTATCTGTGCATATATCTTACCATGCCCCCCTCCTATACATACCCTCCCTCCACAGAGTTTTGTGTCTATTGGTTGTACTTATATGCATGTATATAAGTCCTTCGGTTGATCTCTTATCTCCCCAGATTTCCCTACCCTCCCCACTGTAATTTGACAGTCTGCCTGTTGCTTTACTGTCTCTATATCTATCTTTTGGTTCATCAGTTTATAATGTTCTTTATTATCCATAGATGAGTGAGGTCATGTGGTGTTTCTCTTTCATTGACTGGCTTATTTCACTCAGCATGATGTTCTCCAATTCCATCCAGGTTGCTGCAAATGATGAGAAGTCCTTCTTTTTTATGGCAGCATAGTATTCCATTGTGTAGATGTACCATGGTTTTTGGATCCAATCATCTGCTGACGGGCACGTAGGCTGTTTCCAAATCCTAGCTATTGTAGATTGTGCTGCTATGAACATAGGGGAGCATATATCCTTTCTGATTGGTGATTCTAGTTTCTTGGGATATAATCCTAGGAGTGGGATTACTGGGTCAAATGGGAGTTCCATTTTCAGTTTTTTGAGGAAGCTCCATACTGTTCTCCACAGTGGTTGCACCAGTCTGCATTCCCACCAGCAGTGCACGAGGGTTTCTTTTTCTCCGCAACCTCGCCAACACTTGTCATTTGTTGACTTGTTGATGTTGGCCCTTTTTACAGGTGGCATTCACAAGTATCTTAAGATGGAGCATGTTCACCATAAGCAGCCCGAAATATGTAATTTTTTCTTCAAAATAAAGTAACGAATTAAAACTTCCTGCAAATGCTCTTTTCTTTGGGAGGGGACACGAAATTCGACATTTTTAAGAGTAAAAATATATATAGTGTTAACACCTTCAGAAAATTTGACATGTGAACTTTTGAAGCTTGTTGTCAATACAACAAAATCGCATACATATCAAACCACATATATATCAACATATGTGTAACTCCATCTATTGAAAAAAATTCACATTATTGACCGGTACAACTAAGGAGGCTAATAGGGGTAATTCCAATGTAACCCTCATATTTAGAGGCTAGTGATCTGAATCCAAGCCAGCAAGCTCATTGTACATTCCTGATAACCTATAATTAAGTCCCTCTCTCCTTCCCAGATACTGGTCTTGCAGAATCTGCTACTGTTCACAGTGCACTGTCCCAGGGGAAGGGTTATGAACCCTAACACCAGGCCAGACCATCAGATATGGCCTGGAGACCCCCAACACCTGGGGCCTTCTTACAAGGCCCACCAAAAGGACCGGAAGCATAATCCAAGTTTGTGGGACAAAGATCACAGGGAGGGAGATAGAAGGGAGGGCCCCATGCGTGTTCCTTCACTCAGATTTGGAAGGCTGTTCCCTGAGTCCGCTGGCATATTAAACAGTGTTCCTCCTACTTCCGCAGAAGTGTCCTTGGTTTTCTTTGGTCTTCTGCAACACAACTTGTACATCTGCAAGGTGAGAAGGCTGCAAATTGTGTGTGCCATCCACACTCCCCAAAGGCACTTGTTTAAAGACTTCATTTCTGGGGCACAGTGGGAAATAAAAGGTGCTGTTGAAATGCAAAGGAATTTGTAAGTTCCCATTTTCTTCCAATGAAAAAGAAAAATCTCTGAATGTTCCCAAGTGTTTCTTGACTATAACAGATTTGGAATTTAACTGCAACTTTTATTTTTATTTATTTATTTTTTTAAAAATATATATTTTATTGATTTTTTTTTACACAGAGGAAGAGAGAGGGATAGTTATATGGAAAGATCGATGAGAGAAAACCATTGATCAGCCGCCTCCTGAACACCCCCTACTGGGGATGTGCCCTCAATCAAGGTACATGCCTTTGACCGGAATCGAACCCGGGACCCTTCAGTTCGCAGGCCGATGCTCTATCCACTGAGCCAAACCGGTTTCAGCTAACTGCAACTTTTAAGTGAGGAAGAGCCAGTGGGATCAAATTATGCAAACAAAAACAATCCATGAATAGAGAGATTTAGAAGTAAATCCAATGAAATATCTTTGACTAATATTCCTGAAAAATACAGTGCAAGTGACAAGAAGCAGCCTCGTGCCCTGGTAGGCAAACCGCAGCTCGCAAGCCACATGTGGCTCTTTGGCCCCTTGAATGTGGCTCTTCCACAAAATACCATGGCCTGGGCGGGTCTATTTTGAAGAAGTGGCGTTAGAAGAAGTTTAAGTTTAAAAAATTCGGCTCTCAAAAGAAATTTCAATCGTTGTACTGTTGATATTTGGCTCTGTTGACTAGTGAGTTAGCCGACCACTGGCCTAGTGGTTAAAAGAAAGAGACTCTGGAGCTGGACTGTCAGGGTATAAATCCTTTTCCTGGCTCTACCGGCTTCAGACAATTTATTTAACCTCTGCTTCTTAGTTTCCTCATTGGTTTTGTGTGTGTGTGTGTGTGTGTGTGTGTGTGTGTGTGTGTGTGAAATGATGTCAATGTATGCTTGCTCTCAGGTCTATGAAAGAACAATCATGAGACTGAAGCAGCTAGTAATTCACTTGAAGAAGCCCAAGTCCAGTTCAAAGTAGACTCACAGATGATAGTGAGAATTTTTCCAAACAACTCTGTAACTTCATTTTCTAGGAATTGGAAACTACCATGTAATTGAAGTTGGGGAACTGGGCAAAATAGTCATATTGATCATCTGTTTAATGGTCACTTTTTCAGAGTGCCTGGCACTGTTTGCCTATTTCCTGGCTGTTTGAAGTCACATTTCTATGGGGACTGTAATCCACATGTTTGCTATTGCATCTTTCCCATTCCTGGCGGCA